TGGACTAACCTACCTTGCATCTCCCAATTCACCTGTGGCCCTCACTCCCGTCTAGCCCCTTCCTTAGTCCCCTCTTTAGTCCCCTCCTCAGTCCTGTCTTTTGCCCTTCTACTCCATGTGGGAACCCACCTCTCTCATCCGTGGGTGCCAGATATGAGAAGTGTTCAGGGGCAGACTCCAGTTGCCATAGATCTCCTCTGGGGGCAGAGACAGGGATACACACACATATGAACAGGGAACGGAGACATAGGGAGAGAAGATGCTGCTGCCATAAATGCATCCTGGTGTCTGGACCTCCAGGCTTCTGGTCCCCCTCCCCTCCAGCACACCCCAGAAGTGTGCCCACCTTCTGGGGGACATTTCCATCTCTCCAGGGCCAGGATGGCTTTAGCTGGGATCAGAAATGCAAAGGCGCTAGCCTGGAACAGCGGCAGCCTGGAAGGGGAGGCACAGAGCAAGGTGGGGTGTGGTGGGGGACAGGGACACACAGACAGGGGAGATGGGGACAGAGGGGCACAGAGAGGGAGAGGCAGAAAGGATCACACAAAGGGACAGAGACATAGGGACCGGGCAGGGGCAGAGCAGAGGGACGTCCTTGAGGCCCCAGGCAGGACTCTATAACATTTTGGGGGACCAAGAAAGAAAACAAATGGAGCCCCTGCCCACCCCTGCCCCTTTCCTTCTCAGCATGTTTCCTGCACTGTGAGGGGCCCATGCACAGACGTGGACAGCTTGTTTCTTGCATCCACGCTGCACTGACAACCTTTCTCCCTCCTCCTACCACACCACCACGCTTTGGCCACCTGGGGTTGTGCACAAGGGGGTAGGGGCCCCCAGGAAGGTAGACTATTGAAGAGGCCAGGAGGCAGGGAAGCAGGTGGTCCCTGAGTAGGACTTAATGAGTAGGGCTTAATCAGCTAGGTGAGTGGGCTCCAAGCCCAATCCTTGCCCAGCTAAGGCACATTCCCTTATATCCACAGACTCCTAGTCTTTGAGGGGTGCCAGGTGCCAGGATAGGACTCCAGCTGCCTGGCTCTAAGGCTGGCCTGGGAGAAGAAGCAGCAGGTTGGGGCAGAGAGCAGCTTTTTTTGTCCCATGAGTCCTCTGAGAGAGACCACCTGCTCCAGCTGCTGCTGCTACATTGTGCGTGTGTCTGTGTGTGTGTGTGTCTGTGTGTGTGTGTGTCTGTGTGGGGGTGGGGGTGGGGCAGCTCACCGGATGCCCAGCGTGGTCTGGATGAGGGTGGTGATGCCCACGCAGGTGAAGATGGTGCCAATGAGCTGGCTGACCATGTGCTGGTCACGGCCCACACACAGCGCCTCAGCCAGGAGGAAGGGCACAGCGATGGTGCCACTGAAGCATGTCAGGTAATGCTGGGGGGTGGGGGAGTGCATGAGACCCACAGAACTCACATGGAAACAGGGCCCCTTAGTAGTTCTCATGCCTGCCTCAGTGGGCCTGAAGCCATGCTGCCCTAGGCAACATACCCACCCAGGATTGACATTCTCACAGGGAATTCCCGGAGGGCTACTGCTCATCTGGCTGGGGATTACTTATCTGTCCCCAAATTATTCCTGCATCTTCTGTGGAGTGGGCCCTCCTCCCTGTCACTGATACTTGCTCCCAGGGGATTAATCCTCTCTTGGACCCCATAATCCTCTTCCCCACCCCTGCTTGTTACAGTCACTGTTGCTGACCTTAGGTTTCTCTTCCTGTTACCAAAGATAACCTTGGTGGCCAGGGAGGGGCTGGGGAGTGTGCAATGGGGTGGCTGTTGCAGGGAAGCCCACCTGGAAGCCCAGCAGGATGCACAGATACCAGGGCGGCACATCTTCGATCTTGTACAGCATGTCGAACTTGGGCTCGGTGGGCCGGGGCACTGGGGGGTCCTTCGTGGAGGGCCCTGCTAAGCCCAGGTCCTCATGCTGGGGGCAGCAGAGAACAGTAACTCAGGATGGAGAGGTGGACACTGGAAAGTCGATTCTGCCCCAGAATCAATCAGGTACCTGAGTGGCCTGTCAGCTCCTCAGAATGGGGTCTGAGCCTGAGTTCCTCACTTCGCTCACGGTTCATACACCCAGCTGTCCCTTGGCCTGACTCTACCTGGCTCCCACCTCACATTGCTTTGTGCAGGATGAGTCCTCTATGCTGGCTCCTGAAGCCCTCAGGACTCAGGCATTCCAGCCAAGGGAATGGGCCCCTAAGTCAGATGGCCTGGGGGGACGCAGGAAAGGGGACCAAGAGGGCTGGAGACTGTGGAGGTCCTTGGGGTGGCACTGTGGGGGGGGGGGGGGCGGCGGGGAGGGTTAGGTTGTGTCCCTACTGGCACTCAAGCTGGAGTCAGCGACTCCCTAAGCTGAAGTCTCCTTCACTCCCCCTGCCACCCCCACCCCATCCCCCAATAGCCAGGCTCAGCCTAGGACAGTCACTCTTGATCAAGTTTATAAGAACCTTTGTCTCTGCCCTCCCAGGGAGAAGCCTGTGTGCAGTTCCTCCAGCCCCCACCCCATCCTGCCCCTACCCAGCTCCCAGTCATCCCCCAGCACCTGTGTCTGGCCCTCGGGGTCCTCCTGGGCCCTCATCTCTGGGACACAGGTGTGAGCAGTTCCTGAGGAGAAGAGGCAATGGCTATAGAAACGCCAAGGAGGACTTTACTCCACATATCAGACATTGTTCGAAGTAAATCTGTAACCAGATCCCCAACTCCTATCGAGATTGCGAAAGCAGGTCCCGGGTGGAGGTAATGTATTAACTCTGGCCATCGTAGAATGGTAAAGGCCGCCCAAGCTCTGCCACATTCACCCGCTGCCCGCACCTGAGCCTGAATACAGGACCTCGTCTTATTTTCCAAGAAAGGGCCAGAGTGGGCAGTGAGGCATAGACAGTCTTGGAAGTTTAACAATCTCTGTTTGAGTGGCAGGAAAAGGAGTACAAATGGGCACTTGTTATGTCACCATCTGAATATTAATAACAAGTTAATCATTATCATCATCATAACCACTCTCACTGAGGAATGGCTGTGTGCCAGGCAAAATCTCTGTATTGTTGTGTTTAACTCCAGGTGCTGGGCAGTATTAACCTCCTTTACAGCTGATTAGGAGATATGATCTGACAAGGTAGCAAGATTTTAGAAAACCATTCCTAAAACTCAGGTGGGCCTGAACTCCCGCATTTATGCTGTGAATCATACATTAAATGTAATAAGGCACCACCCTCCCCACCACTGCCACTCACCTCATGGTCCCTGAGGCACACAACAGATGAACCTCTGGAGGAGCTACCAAGGCTGGCCTGGCCTTGCTGTCCCCTGTGTCAAAGGATTCCCTTCCCCTCCCAGCCAGGACCCAATCCAGAACGAAAATGCAGGACCCCTATCCCAAAAGTCTTATGAATTTTCAAGACAGTAACAGCAGAACATTAAACACCGTCTGGAGCCTTTCCAAGTGCCAGGCCCTGTGTGACTGCATGTCACACAGCCCCCGAAGCCAGCCTGACGCCCAGCCTGTCTTTGCCTCCTGGAAAGTCCAGCCCAGTCTGGCCATGGGGCCTGGAGCTGGGGCCTGGGGCTGGGAGGGTCCAGGGGCTGAGGTTCTGCCCCCCACACGGCTGCCCAGGCCCAGCCCCCCAAAGCCCACCTACTTCTGGGTTGTTGTGCCCATGGCCAGACCCGGCCCCGAGCGCCCACAGGCAGCACCGCTCTCCAGCTGGGAAGTAGCTTCATGCCACAGCCCTGAATCCGTCTGCCTGTCCAGCCTCCAGCCTGTTCCTCTGTCAGCCTGTTTTCTCCTCTCCCTTCTTGGCTTTCTGCTCCCAGGTTCCCAAAGTCGTCTGACCAGTTTGAAGCTTCAGAGCTGCTCCTCAGCACTTTCCTTCCCACCCCCTCCTCCCCAGTGCTCCCCAGGGGGCCCTACCTCCTCCAGTCCCCTAGACACTCAGTTCAACCACACGGAGACAAAGCCTGGGGTTGCACAGCGTCTCAGATATAATCACACAAAGGACTCACAACACCCAGATTCAGATGCAGACTCCACATAAAGCCTGGGTGATGTCACAGGCTCCCAACTCCACACCCGATACAGCTCAGCAGTTCCTTGTGCCCTGGGTCCTTTCCTGGTGCCTACAGGTTTCTTTTGGCAGGAGCACCATACAGGGGGGTGGCTCAGGCAGATCAGGAACAGGTGATAGAAAATAGGGAGGCTGGGCTGCAGTGTAGCTTAGGAAAGCTGGAGAGGTCAGGGCATGCTTGGGGTACCCCTATTCCTCCAGCAATGACCTTTCCCCACTCCACAAATCTGAATCGCCTCCAAGTCCTACCACTTTTCAGCCTGGGGCTTGTCCTGAGCCTCTTTTGTTGTCTAAGCCTTGGTGTCTACATCTGTCATCTGGGGATTAGAGTCTGTTCTGTCCACCTCCCAGGTCTTTGAAGGCTCAGAGAGACACTCACAAAGGAAACTGACCCAAGGGCCAGGTGGGGCCCTTTTCTCCTTTTGCTAAAGGGAAAAGCCCCAGGACAGAAGAACTTCTGGGGCGAGCAGGACTTAGAGCCAAGATGCTGAAACCAGCCCATTCCAGGAACCCTGTCCCACCCTGTCCAAGGCAGGCACCTAGGACCCAACCATGCCAGCTGGGGTCAGAGACAGAGGCTACAAAGTGAGCAGCTGCTGGGTTGTAGACCCAGTGAGACTGCTGTTCTGGGAGGGGCACCAACAGCTGATCGCACCCAGTGACTGCCGGAGGCGTGTCCACAAAGTGGCCCGCTTATGGAGTTTCCCATGGTTTTTCTTCTTTCTCATGATGGATCTGGGGTTTCCCATTCACATAACTGGATCTGTATGTCTTTGACTGCTCACTGACATTTCTAACCAGGACAGATCTCACTTACTTCTGGGAAATTTGCAGGGATGTGTATTTGGCCCTTTCCAGGAGCAACATCAGCAGAAACACCAATATCTGTCCTCCCAGCCCCCGAAGCACATTTTGCAGAGAGAAGGAATTGAGGTCACTGAGTTTTATTTGAGTCCAGAGGGGAAGGCCTTGGCCCCTCGCCTAGGCCCCAGTGCCCCAAAGCTGGAGGAGGAGAGAGTGGCAGCCTAGGTGAGGAAGTTCTCCTTGTCCTCAGCAGCCTTGCAGAAAGGAGGGGGACAGATCCAGAAGAAGCTCCCTCTGTCTTCAGGGGCTGACCACAAAGGGGAAGCAGGAGCTGGACTAGAGCTCTGTCCTTGTGACTGGTGCCTCCTCTGAGCAGACTCCACGGGGGCCTCCACACAGCAATGCCTTCAGAGCCCCTTGGCCTTGTTGATGGGCTTCATAGATCTGGTCTTCTCCAAACTCCCCCAGGTAGTGCAAACATGTCGTGGAGAGCCTAGGGGAGTCCAACTGGAGCTTCAAACTCTGCCGGCCCACGGGGGGCAGACTAAGGTTCCAAGGATTCCATCTCACCCCCACCCTCCCGTCCTACCTTGTAGGCCAGGGGCCCCCCGTGATCATCACGCTGACGCTTGGCTCTGGCCCATGGCTAAGTCCTGGGCCCATGAGATGTTTCACCTGGTTCACTTCTCGGACCCCGTAGCTGGAGGCAGTGAGGACACAGCATTAGTGAGAGCCTGGCCAGTGGGGACCTGTCTCCATATGAAACTGGGCACACTGGGCCTTTGCTGAGTTCAGTGCCCAGATTCTGATCCTCCCGGATGGAAAATAGAGGACCAGAGAGGGGAAGCTCCTGGACCATGAACTTGTCCCTTGGCCACCTACCCTTCTACTTGCTCCTAGCTCTAGAGCTCAGACTTCGTCCCAACCAGCCCCCTACCTTGAACCAGAGCCCTGGTGGAGAATGTGTGTGGTATGAGTGGAAGAGTGGGGACCTCCACCCACCAAGCCCTGCCCCGGGAGGAAGAAGGTAGGGACCGGATTTTCAACTCACTCCTGCCAGGTCTGGGAGCAGCTCTGTTCCAGGACGTCTGTATATACCGACTCACTCAGCTCCTGACGCCCCCCAGGGGTGTGAAGCTTGGCCTCTGCCTTTGCCAGATGTTGCCACATCTGGAACAAGGAGGGGTTGAGAGTCAGGGCTTAGGGACTGCTCAGTGTGGGGGAGGGGAGGATAGAAACCTGGGCCTTCCGGGGAGAGTGAGGTGGCCAGGGGAGGTTTTTGAGCAGGAAGCACCTGTGAGGCAGGCCTCAGGCTCTTCCCCTGGGTCCCAAATGCTGGGGCCTGGCCAGCTGAGGCAGGATCACTTTCCTGGGACCAAGGGGGTGGGTGGGAAATGCTGAGGTGGACCGTTAGGCTTAGGCACAGGGGTCTCTCCCCCAGGGCACACCTGCCCATCAACAAATGCATTTTAAACCACAAACACAAGGAAAGAAAACCAAACCAAACCAAACCATAGTCCACTCTTCAATGACATGAGTACTCAGAGGTACTCAGGCGCATTTGACAAGTTTGTGTGTGAACTCAGACACACACATACTCATATATTCACACACTCAGCACATGCACGCATACACCAGTGCTCCGCCGTCATATTTTAGGAGGAGTCCAGGCCTGAGGATGGGCCTGGAAAGGGAGGAGTCTGAGTCGACAAACTGGTGACTCCCTGGAGTCTCAAGATACTATGGGGTGTCCCAGATCGTCCACTCTCTGTTGGGCAGACAGATGAGTAAACTGAGGCCTGGAGGTGAAGATGGCAATATCATGGAAGGCTGAGTCTAGCTGGATGCCTGGGGGTAGGGGTTTGGAGATGGATCAAAGGCCAGTGGTGGAATCTGAGGTAGATGGAGGGTTCTGATTTGAGGAGGACTGGGCAGGGGAACTGCTGGGGGAAGGGACTCACCTGGTAGGCCACCGCCCTGCAGGCATCGCAGCGAAGGTGAGCAGGCATATGAGCTGAATACTTCTCCTCATCGTCCAGCTGTGGGGCAGTGGCTGTGAGCGAAGCCCTATTCCCAAGGCCCCCTGGGATAGCCCAAGCCCCCAGTAGCAGCAGGAGCAGTGGCAGTGACAGCCTCATGGTTTCTGGAGCCGGCTCAGTGAGCATGGGCTGTGGTTGGGATGTAAATGTACTTGTGTGTGCAGTGGGGACCTCCCCAGAACGCCTGACCCAGACCAATGGGGAACTGACACCTCACCCCTCCCATTTTCTCCCTTCCCCCAGGAGACACCACATGCGCATCTCCTCTGGTGGGACCCCAGCTCCCACCAACTTAGCTCCATTTCACAGGTAGAGAACAATGAGGCAAGGAAAGTGGCTGGGCCTGGGCAAGGACACATGGGGGCTAATATCTCCCAAGCCTGGAATCTGGCCGCAGGGCAGGTACTGTGCTGAATACCTTGGGGGAGGAAGTGGTTGGTTACTGTCCTCTTTAGTCTACCCCCAAGGACACAAAGGCTCAGAGAGAAGTGACAAATCCAAGGCCACATACCTAGAGGGGCCATGCTGAAATTGGAACCCAGGCCTGATTGACCCCAAAGCCCATTGGCCACTCAGCCACCAGGAGGAATGATGCCAGCCTAAGGGCCCCTTCCTGGGAAGCAAATTCACTGAGGTAGGGACACCACTGTGTATGAAAGACACTCATGGTCTTCTTCCCTGAGCCCTATGGTTCACTAGACCCAGGCTGTGCCTGGGCATGAAAGGGCATTGTGGGGGTGTTAAAGGGCCACAGCAGGAAATCAGACACCTTACACCAGTTGTTCGAGCCATCATAGTTCATTGGGTCAGTGATTTATTGCTCACCAGGATGAGGTGACGAGCCCAGGGCCCTCCATGTTATTGGAAACAGCATCTCCAACTATAAAAAGATGTCCAGGTTTTTCTGGCTCATAGTTCTCCCAGTCAGCTTCTAGTTCAAGGCAGGTGGGTAGGGACTCCAAAGGACCCAGGCCCCCCAGGGGCATGGAACTTAAGGCATCCATTTCCATCCCTAACACTGCTTCTAATGGCCACTCTTCTTCCCCAAACTCATCACATCACATACTTGTCCAGCAAGGCCCAGGCACTTCAAGCTTAGAATTTCACACAGAACCCATACAAAGCACCTCCCACTCACTCCATGCATCTTCCTCTGCCTTCCTCAGAGGCCCTTGGAATCTTAGGGCAATGGGAACACATGCTCTGGTCCTGTCCCTTACTGTGCTGTGACCAGCCTGCATAGCCAGCAGCTCTCTGGGCATGGTTGCCACATCTGCTACTGGGGGAGTAAAACCAGCTGAGGGGTCCAAGTTTCTCTGGCCTGCCCCATACAGGGGCACCCTTTCTACTGCCAGCCCTAACCAACCCTCTACCCGACCCAGAGGGGTCAAGAGGCTCCTCTGGGACAATAGCTCAACCATTCTCCTTGCTTGTAAGTCCTTCCTGATGACTCGCTCCATCTGCTCCCTACTCAGGATGGGAATGACTGAAGCCCCCATTCCTGGCCCCAGGAAGAGCCAGCTTAGCTCTGAGGGCTTAGAGAAGCCAAGTCAGAGGCTAAGGTTGAGAGGAGAATAAAGGGCGGAGCTCCCAGCTAGGGACTACAGTCACTTCCCCACCTCCCTCCACTACCCCCATATCCCAGGCTGACCCTCCACAGCCCCTCCTATATTACTTCCCTGCTCCACCTTCACCTGCTTGTCCCCACAGCTCCCTTTCTCAGATACAGCCTGGCCTGGCTGCACTAGCTACAGCCTCCCGGGCCAAGGCTTAGGTCCTCTTCCAAAGAATAGCAGACTTGACAGCCAGAGTCCTCCCTCCAGCCTGCTGGTGCTCACTAGCCTGCTCCACCTCACCTGGGCCCACCTTTCAGGGAGGGGCAGACAGCTACTACTTCTGGGGGCAGCCCAGTCCCCTGCTGCTCCTAGGGAACCCCAACAACCCTTCAGGTCAGTTCTTGGGGACAAATCCTGAGACGCCTCACTTTTACACACACACACATACACACACAAACACACCACACTCATGGGAATGCTTGGGGAAGGGGTATACAATGCTGTAGAAGGCAGGCAGTCACTTCCTGAGATCCAGTTCCATCAGCCCCCCCGGGGTCCAGATACATTCTCTGAAGATAACTTCCGGTCTCAGGACTCGATGAGATGGGTAAAAAAGGTGACAGGAGAAAAGAAGGGCAGGGGACTGGATGCCTGAACCTTAAAAGCCATCGGCAGGCCCCAACACCATGGGGATCAGGCCCTGGGGCCTCACACAGGGAACAAGGAGCTCTTGCCAGGCTGGGCGGGACCCACGCCGGTGGGAGGAGCGCAGAGGAGCAGAGGAGGTGCGGGGCTGGGGGTCCCACTCACTGGCAGGTAGTACATCCTCTCCAGGGGCCCCGCCTCGGAAGCCCAGGGTAGCTGGGTGCCGCTGTAGGCTGGCGGGCCTGGGGATGGTGGCAGTGAGAGGCCGGGGAAAGGCCCATAAGCGGGCGGGTAAAGGCCGGGACTCAGGGCCAGCGGGGTGTAGATGCGGCGGGGTGGCCCCGGGGGCGAGGGCGGCAAAAACACCTCCACGTACTGCCCGCTCTCGGGGTCAAAGAGCAGCCGTAGCCGAGGCTGCCGCGGCGCCTCCACAAAGTAGTAGCGGCCGCTCTCGGGGTCCACCAGGACCTTCCCCGTGTTCGCGGCCCCCGGTGGCCTGCGTGCCCCTTGGGAGGGGCCTTCCAGGGACCGGTCCATAGGAGGCGCTGATGCTGCGCGGGGCTGGGGCGGGGCCATTCTGCCCGCCAAGGCCTGGGGCTCCCGCGGGTGGGGCGACTGGACGGCAGTGGCAGGCTCGGGGACAGAAGGGGGAGGCTCCAATGTGGGTGCTCTCCCAGGGCTCGAGCTAGGGTGCGCCTGAGGGGAGCTGGGGCGGGATGGGCCGGCTGGGGGGGGCCCTGCTGGCCCTACGGACGATCGCTGGGGTAAGGAGAGAGCTCCACCTAACGGGCTGATCGGACCCTCGCCGTCGGAGACGAGGCGCTGGGCCTCCATAACTCGGTTCTCTCCTGCAGGACCGCGCACCAGGACTCCCCGGGTTTCCGTCAGTCCGTGGCCCAAGGCCAAGGCACCAGGCAGGCGGATCTCAGTTCGCGCGAAGGGTTTTGCCGTGCTGTTCTCTGCCCTCCGCCGCAGGACCCCGTTGGGCTGCGAAGCGTCCCGGGGGTTTGTGTTGGGGGGTGGCTCTGGAGGCTCGTAGGGGTGCGACACGACAGGCAGAAAGTCCTTGAGATAAACGGAGGTGTAGTGAGCGGGGGCGGGGGTCCCCAGCGCCTGGAGCTCCTGCGTCTTGGATGCACCACCCTTCTCGGGGCGGGGATCCGCTGGAGGCGCAAGCAGCCCTGAGCCGGGGGTTTCCGCCGGGAAGCTCGGCGCGTACGTGGTCTTCACCATCTTGCGCATGTCACGGGGCCGCGGAATAGCCACGCGCGGGCGTCCGGAGGCCGCTGGTCCAGGGCCCAAGGCTTCCGGGGGCGCATCCGAATCCATGGTGCCCATGAGGCGACTGAGGGGCAGCGCGGGTGCAGCCACCTCTGGCAACGGTTGACTGTCTCGGAAGGCAAGATCCGGCACGTCCGGTGCGGAGGGACTCTGCGCCTCTGTTAGCTCTGGAGTCCTGGGTGCGGGCGGTGTAGGCGGCGCCGGCTGCCCCTGGACTGCGCCATTCAGAGCATCCTGCGGAGAGGCTATCGAGGAGCCCTGCATTTTGGGACCCCACCTCTCTTGGGGCGATGGACTCCACCGCCCAGTAGGACGATCTGGAGCCTCCCATGAGGACACGGCCGGCAGGGACGGGCTGCTATTCCCCTCGATGGTAGCTCCGATTGTGGGGTGCTGAACCTCCCACGGCGAAGGAGCTTCAGGGGATGGGCTTCTTGCCTTGGCAGCACCCGGGTTCCACTGGGAAAGGGTCGCAGGGGAAGGGCTCCTCCTGCTGACGGTTTCCTCGACGGTGGGATCCTGATTTTCCCACGCGGAGGATTCCTTCGGGGAGGAGGGACTACTCACCCTCGGATAAGCCGGACTCCGCGGGGACAGGTTCCGGGGGGGTGGGCCGAGAGAAGTCTGCAGGGTTCCATTGGGAGCCGGCCTCGGCGGGGATGGGCTCCTTGGCCTCACAGCCTTACTCGGGACTTCCCAAGGGTCCCTGGACTCGAAAGGCCTCAGAACGGTTCGCTCCGGAGCGTCTCCTGGGAACCTCGCTTTGAGTTCCTGGTTGTGCGCTTCTTGGGTCTTCTCCCCGGATTGCAGGAAGATGCTTGAACTAACCGGACCCAGTGGCTCAGTCCCGGGCGCGGGCTTGTCGCGACGAATGGCGCGTTCGCGGAGGCTGGGCCAGGGCCGGGGGGCCCGGGCAGGGGCTGAACTATAGTGCACGCGGGGTGGGCGAGACCTGCCGTCCTCCTGGGCCCCTCGGGTGCTGCGGACCGGTGTCCGCGTCTCAGGCTCCGGCCGCTCCGCGGGCCTGAAGGTGGCGCCGCTGGGGGCAGGGGCCGCGGGGCTCAGTTTCCTGGCCAGAGCCGTCTGCACGAGACCCGCGGCGGCCTGCAGGCGGCCCAGCGACTCGTCCAGGGAGCCGGTGCGCAGGAGCGGGCGCGGGCGCGGTGCGCCTGCCTCCCCCTCCCGCGGAGGACTCCGGGGCCGGGGGCGCAGCTCGATCTGACGCTTGGGCACCGTCCGGGACCTGGCGGGCAGGGCACGCTCCTCCAGCGCCACCTCCACGCATTCGAACTGCGCTGGGGTGGCAGGACTCGGCCCGCGGGGCCGCAGCTCCAGGTAGGTGGCCCAGCGGGAGCCACCGTCGGGGGGCTGGGGCTGGGGCTGCGGTGCGGCGGGGGAGGGGGACGCGGGCGGAGAGAGGCTGTGGAAAGCCCGCGCCGTGAGCTGCTGCACCTCTCTGTCCGCCGAGTCAGAGGGGCTGAACAGGGCCCCGGCGCCGAAGATGACTTCCATCTCCCCCGACGGCAGCATGCGCAGCTGGGGCTGGGGCTGGGGCGGCCGCGGGCCTGCGCCCGGGCCTCGCGGGAAACCCGAGCCGGGCTGGAGCTGCTGGCGGCTATTCTGGGCGCTGATGGACAGGCGAAGCTGCGCCCCCGCCCCCAGCGCAGGGGCCACCCGGGGCCAATTTGCCCGGCCCTCCGCGTCCGGCCCGACGTCCGGGGGCTCTGGGGAACCGGGAGCCGTGTGGTAGGAGCCTGACGAACCGGAGGAGTCCTGGCGCCGCGCGGGGGCCGAGGGTAGTTGACCTGCGAGCCCGGGCAGGGCTGGCGGGGCGAGCGCGATCAGCATGGTGGGGCCGGACGCCGAGCTCTACCTCCCTCGCATTCGCCTGCGCCGGTGCCGCGGACGCCCACACTGTCCCCGCCCCGCCCGCGGAGGCCGGGGGTCACCGCGCCTTAAAGCGGCCGCGTCCGCTCCGGGCCAGCGGTGTCGCCAGCAGGAGAGACCTGGGCCCTGGGCCTTGGGCCTTGCTCTCCCTCGGGGGGCGCTCCAGGTTTTGGCTGTCGGGTGTCCAAAGTGGAGCCGGGAGCTAGGCCCAGCTCCACGCGTCACAGGTGAGGACACAGGCCGAGCGGGGACCTGCCGTAGGGGAAGCACTACCGATGGCCTGCGGATCGGTGTGAGCACCAGGGCACCACACCTTCGGGTCAGGCGACTCAGGTGTTGCCAGCAACTTCATTTTCCCCTCAGAGTCTTCCCATCACGGAATGGCAGCCCTCCTCCTGCTCTTGACATCCATCCCAGCTGGAGCTCCGCAGAGTGCAGCCGCTTTCCCTGACCTGGCACTCCACAGCCTTTAAGAGAGGAGCATCGCTTGGAGGGCTCCCCCACTCCCAAAGTGGTGCTGGGGCCTCAGGAAGGTGCTGTCCCTGGCTGGATCCATTGCCTTTAGTGGCAACGTACTGGAAGAAACTGGAGTGGACAGCTCTTTTACAGGCTGCCTTGGCAACCAAGCTCTGGATGCGGATGTGGGCTCTCTCAGGAACCTTTTGGGTAGCTGTGGTCCCCTCTCTACCTAGCCCTATGTTCCTCCAAGTACTCATTTCAGCCCCCACCACCTCGGTATTGCCCAGAGGACAGGCACTGGTGGGGAAGCAGCCACCACCTGTCATTGGGGGACAGTGACAATGGGCACCATTTGTCCTATTCTGACTGCAAGGTACTGCTGTGGTTCAGGTCCCCAGTTGGTCTTGGAGCAAGAGCACTGGCCCCTCCTGCCTTGACGAATCTGACTCAGCCTCTCCTGAGTGGGTCCCCTGCCTGGGTGTGTGTCCATGATCACCTGGCCATTAGTGATGGCTTCTGAGAGAATGAAGCCTGTCCTCAGAGGTCAGATTACAACCAGATAACAGAAAGGTAATGATTATTTTATTTTTCCCTGGGACGCTGGTGCCTGTCCGGCCCCAATATGCAGCTTCAGCAAGTCACAGCCCCTTCACAGACTGTTTCCCCACCTTAAAAATAGACATGGCAGCCCTGGCTGAGTGGCTCAGTTAGTTGGAGCATTGTTCCATACACCAAAAGGTTACAGGTTTGATTCCCAGTCAGGGCACATACCTAGGTTGAGTTCGATCCCTTTGGTCCGGATATGGGAGGCAATTGATCAGTTTCTCTCTCACATTGATGTTTCTCTCTACCACCTTTCCTCTCTATCTCCCTTCCTCTCTCTCTACAAAAAAATCAATGAAAAAAACATATCTTCGGGTGAGGATTAAAACAATAAAAGGGTTCAAGCTTTATTTTTTAAAAAATGGCATTATCCTTTTCCCTTCCATTTGTGAAGGCTGATGAGCTTGTTTGGGGGAAGTGTATAAGAAGGTGCACATGTAATTTGCAGCGTAACATTTTTGTTTTGTCATGGAAACTGATTTCCTAAGTTTATCGTGGTCCTGGAACCCACTGTCTTTGAAGTCTCCGGTCAGGGCTTTCTCTGCCTCTCTTTCTTACACACACGTGGCTGTTTATATAGGCAGGAGTTAAACACAGAGTAAGAAAGGACAGTGTTCACTAGATAACAAAGTAGTCTTTCTCTAGGCTGCAACCCCATAACTCCATGGACCCCCTGGTAGGTGGTGGTCCAAGGCCTGTTCCCCACCCAGTCTGTGGTAACTTATTCTCACTTAGGTCACCAAGGTCCATGAGACAGGCAGGGAGGAGGGAAGGAAAGTGCCCTCTGCCTCTTATCCTGCCCCTTCCCTGGGGTCAGGCCACTGGTGAGGCCTGAGAAGGATAGAAAAGGTCAGGATGGGAATGCCCACAACAGAGAAATCAGAGGTCAGATTACAACCAGATAACAGAAAGGTAATGATTATTTTATTTTTCCCTGGGACGCTGGTGGCTCCGGGCCTGACATGTCCCCGAGACTTTCTTATGCTTCTGGGCTAGCACCTGGGCCATGTAGTTCTCCTGCTGCTTCTGGATCCGGAAGTCAGACATGTGATTCCTGCAAGGAGCCGGCTAGGCTGGGCGTGGGCTGGGGACAGCCCAAGATAGGGACCAGAGGTCTGGATCTCCACTTCCATCAACAACCCCCAACCTGTCCATGACCCCTCACCTGAAGATCTGTTTCTGTTGGCTGATAACTTGCTGCAATTCCTTAATCTCATTCTCTTTGCCATTAAGTATATCTTCTTGCTTTATAATGTGAGACTCAATTTCTGTGGGGGGAGAGAGGCAGGGAGGAGGTGGTTCCACCCCATGGGCTCCTTCCTGCGATAAGGCATTCATTCCCTCACAGGTCTTTTCAGAACTTGGTTCCCTCCACCCACAGGCTCTCCACGAGTAGCTGCCAATACCTTAGGAAGAATGAGTTTATTATGGAGTCTTGATGGGGTGGTGGGGACACAATGTCTGATGAATGTGTCAGTGACTTCGCAACTCTATTCTGGACCAGGTGACTCACATGAAGGCAGGCAAAGGAGAGAGGTGGTAGCCCTGCCCACAGGCAGGAGGATGAACAGCTCCTGGCCTCAACTCCTGCAGATCTTTGCAGATATCACCTCTTTGGTGACACCTCTCTTAGTCTAAAATTACAACCCTTCCTAATGCTTCCTATTAAAATAAAGCAGGGAAAAGCTTTATTTTTCTCCTTAGCATTTACACCTAACATACCGTTTATTTTACTCACTTACTTTCTCCCCTTCTAGGATGGAAGGACAAGGATTTTTGTTTTATTCACTGTTTTAACCCTAAGGCCTAAAACAATACCTGGTGCATAGTAGGTGCACAATAAATTTGTGGAATGAATGAACAGGATGTCCCCTGAGGATTTAGGACATAGAAACATCACCTAGTTCAGTCATCTCAATCCAACCAGACCTACCTAGGGCCAGCCAGATGCCTACTCCTGTGCAGGGTCCTTGCCCTCAAGGCAGCAGCTCCTGAAAGGAGTGTTAAGACTCAGGAACTGACCAGAGGACAGAATAAGGTGACGTTTCAATGACGTTAATACTGGTGAGACAGTATTACCCCTTTGGGCAAGATGTCTCCTTTTCAGAACCATGTCCTCATCTATATAATATGGGGACAGAGACAGCCTATATGGGGTGGGAAGGACCCAGGGAGATTAGTGGTGGAACAGCTTACCCACTACTTAAGTGCTCATTAGATGTCAGGATGATTTTTGTGACTTGGGTCAGAATCCAGTGAGGCTGTAGGATTCGGGGGTGCTTCATATACATAACTGTCCCTCAGGAAGCCCTGGAAAATCCTGATCCTCACAGGAAGAAAATGCCACTGCCTTTAAAGATTGGACAAAGATTAACTAGAACACAAACTCTGAAAATGCAGACATGCCACAGCATTTACGGTTTCAGAAGAGACGGTCTGGCAGAAAAAGAGGAGACACAGGTAAACAAAGAGGAGGAAAACATGAGCTCACGGAATCATAGGAACAGGACTATCATAACTCCTTCCCCAGGGTGTCCAGCTAATCCAGACTCATTGCTTGTGAAGTTCTCTTGAGAAAAAGTATCAGAAATTTGTGTGAATCTTTTAAAATAAATTAAAATAAATAGCACCCAATGAGAGAATAGTTAGAAAAGCCCTTTGAAAAGATTCCGAACTATGTAAGTACAACCAAATTGAAACCACACAAAGGGCGGTGGCAGCGGGGAGGTACAGGCGAGGAGAAGGCCAGGTCACCTGATTTGCTCAGGTGAAGGCTTGTGCCCACTGGAGAGATGCAGGACATTCTAGGGGAGGCAGCCAGGCTCCATCAGCCTGACTCACACCTTCCAGACGCAGAGCCCTGTAGCCTTGGCTGTGCTCTAGGAAATGCCCTAAAGGAAGGATGTTTTTTCCTAACACCACGGGGAAAGAACCCTAGGTTCCTTTCTAGGGAAGTAGGGGTGGGGAGGGGTCAGAGAGAGGGAAAGGACTAGGGACCAGTGTCTTGGGTATGAAGGCAGTGCCTGCCTGTTGGGCCCCAAGAGGCTCTAAAGGGAGCTCTTGATCAAACAACCATGAGGCCTGTCAGCCTCCCCAGCCAGATCAAGATGGTAGTCTGCTGGCCACTTCCCAGTGAGAATACTCACCAGGGGAGAGAGAAGGCTGGATTGGAGGATAGAGGGTGCCCAGGGCTCCAGGTGGGGCCCATCAGGAACCTCTTTTAGGCTTGAGCTCTGGGCTCTAGCCTACTCAAAATCTACTGCAGTGAATGAAGCAGATGTATGGAATTCACATCCACTTCTTAGGCTAAGTAAGGGGAGTTTAGCATCCTGGGAAAATGAAAGTGGTTCCTGAGGTCTAGGGACATTGGGTAGTTGACTGGAAGTGCCCTGCAACTCACAGCCCCAACTGAGCCAAGAAGCTACATGCATCTGCATGGAGCAGAGCTGAAAACTAATGGCCTACAGGCATACTTTACTTGGCCCATACCATATTTTTAAAGCTTCTAAATCAGTTGACAACGCTAAAAACTCAGAAAAACTTCCATTAAAACCTAGTTTCTCTTTTTTAAAGCTCTGACAGTACTGGACCCCATTCCCACAGCAGAGGAGCTAAGCCCTTGGGAGAGAGCATGGCTCTCCACATTACCACAGTCCCCACTCATCCCAAACCTGAGACTAAGGGTCAGCTCTCAAATAGGACTGTGCGTGCCCTGTTGTTCCATGATACCATTGCACCTGTATCAGAGTTATGAGTAGAGTACATTATTTCTAATATCCATCAAAAGTGGAAAACAAAATGTGGACTAAGAAAGTTGTATGTTTCAAAAAACTGGGAGCGAGCCCGTTCCTTTATGGCCATGAAGGATATTGTACACCAACTGCTTCCCTCATTTCCGTGGCCTGCCTGGTCCCTGAAGGCATTTGCGAAGGTGTGGCCCGCTTGGGTTTGCCTGTAT